CCTGGAAGAGATGCCTTTACATTAGCTCATTCAAAAAAGGTTTAGGATTTTAATTGGCCAGCAAGTTTAATATCACCCAACATTATAATTCAGTTATTCAAATTGCCAAAACTATTACTTGGGAGAGCAAGTGGGTGGAGACAGTTAACTATTTGGGGGAAAAAAAACAAAAGCAAAGATAAAAATGAACTCAAATGGAAAACTTCCCACCAACATAAATTCTAAATTATTTGAGAGTTACTCTGTAAACATAAAGCCCTACAAATCAGAATGAACGTGTAAGTGATCTTTATATCAGAATGAAAGAAGGGTGTCCTAAGCATAAAATAATAGAGGGTGTCACAAAATAAAAGATAAATGTGTTTGGTTTCATAAAAGTTAAAAACATTTCTGTGTAAAGGAACAGTGAAAAAAATTGCAACCTCATATCCAATTTTTTTAGTTATTAAAATGATATTTTAAATCATGGCGTAGTGATTATGAGGCCAATTAAGAGTTGACCATTCATTCATTCAAACATATTTTTGGGTTTACCTACTACATGCCAGGCATTGCTGTAGGTACAGTGGGTGGAGCAGAAACCCAAGGACTGCTCATGAAGCTGACATTCTATTGGGGATTGACTGATGATAAACAAATATACAGTGCTCCAGTGGTGACATAAAGCAGGGTCAGAGGTGGAGAGAATGTTGATTATAGGGATCTGTCTTGTCCTGTTTGTAGGGTTTGAATGCTGAAGAAGGCATTGTTGGGAGCTGTCAAAACCCGTCTTCGTTGTTTCGGCATCTAGGAGACACTGGGGCTAGAGAGGGTCCTATACTCTACCTTCTCCACCAACCCAGCCTAACATGTAGCTTACAAGTAGGTCTTTGCTTTGCCTGGTGTTGTGGCCTGCTGATCAATGACTTCTTTCAAGAAAGCGGGTGGTATGGCAGTTACATTTAAGGTGACAGATAAGATTTGCAGACACTGCACATCCCCTGAAGTGCAGAGAAGTGCTGACATGCTGTAAGAAGGAAACAAGTGCATAAGCTTCCTACAGCTGTGGTGAGAAAGTTTTTCCTTGGTTTTACTTTGTTTGTTTGTTTTGTTTTATTTGGGGCTGTATGTACTGAGGGAAAGATGAAGTCACACTCTGGATAGTTCCTGTACCTCTGTTTCCACTCCCACCCCCACATTGCTGGTGGGGAAATGATTTTCTGCGTTTGCAGAAGAGGAATGAGTGATTTGTTTACATCAAAGAAGAAAATTAAAGCTAATTATAGTAGGGAGAGCTTACATTTGCTGGAAGTGAATCCTACATTGACCTAGAGCTGGGTTGGTGGCAGAGAGCATGGCTTTCCCCACAAATGTCACGTTGATATCAAGAAAGAGGCTTTCAGATATATGGACAGGACATCTTTGATCAGTGCTGTCAGCATTCTTTTTATGCTTGATTGGATCAAAGTGATAGGGATTGGAGGATAAAGATGTTGGAAGGTGAACCATTCCTGCTGTGTCGTGTGACATTGCCCTGGAAGTCTCATGTAAGGAAGCATACTACCTGTCTGTCAACTATGAAAGTGGAGAACAGCTAAAATTCCCAGGGGGGTATATTTGTGATTACGGATTCACTGACAGCTTGCAGTTATGGAGATACTTTGGTCTTCTATTTATCCAGCTGGCTGTTAGATAGTTGAGGCTGCGTTACTCTTTGAGACCTTTTACTATTTAGTCATTGTTTTGGACTAAAGCATGAGTCATCAAAAAATGTATGCATCTCAGGATACCTTTTGAAGTTTGGGTACAGGGACGTTAGGCTTCCGGAAACTGAATGCTTAACAAGTATATTCATTTGAAATCTACCATTTTGAAGAGAGAAATTGAAGGTGAAAGAGGAAATGGTAAATGATTTCTTAGGGAGAGTGAATGTGATTCTGAGGTTTTAATTTAGATACACATGTGGCATCATTTGGTTTAAGTTTATAGAGAGCTTGAAAACACAGAAAGGAATGTAAAAGTATGTGGGCCAAACCCAGTGGATCGAGAGAAATAAGAGATGTGGTATTTTCAAGTATTTTAGGTTATCACCTAGTTGTCCACCTATGGTATTCAGTAGGTGGTTGTCCTCACATGTGTGTGTTTATGTGTGTATGTGTACAAGTTCTATAAATCTGTGCATGGGAATAGTAGGGGGATTATTCACTTAAGAAATTATCCCATAAATTCTTATGTGTCAGACATTCTTTCAGGGGTGGGACATAGCAACACCCAAAACAAAGTCCCTGATTTCATTTGTGTTAGATCGGTAGATGATAAACACACAAAGAATTTAAGATCTAGTACCAGAAAGAAGCAGAATTAGGAGAGAGGGAGTGACAGGAGCGCCATCTTAATAGAGAGACAGGGTAAGAGGTATTATTTGGCAGAGACCTGAATGAAGTAGGATAGTGACCCTGAAGACGTTTTGGGGAAGAGCCTTTCAGGAGAGGCCAAGGGGAGTGAAAAGACCTGAGGTGGGAGCTTGCTCTGCAGGAGTCCAGTCTGTCTCCCCCTCTATGGCCTTGGACTTCATTTAAACTCCCTGAGCCTTTCTTTCCTTTACAGAGGAGATAAAAATCTTTGATCTTTTCACCTGCTAGGTTAGGGTGAAATATAGTGATTTTTGAAGGTTGACAGGCCAGGCAAAAGTGTTATATAACACATGGAAGGCAGCTAGATACTCTCAGGTGCCTCAGCATAAGACAGGAAGTCTTTCAAGTTCACTTAGAGTTAGGTAACAGGTGCTGGTGCTAATTGTACATTTTAATTAATTAGTTTATTAATGGAAGACACCAGAATGGTCTTCCTTTGGCTCCTTGCGTACCTAATTAATGTCAAGTGCTCCAGGTCTTTCCACCATGGGGGTTGTGAGCCCTGGTTTTCCTTGTCATTCTGTAGCTGAGCTATGGTTCTGGCCCCTAGGTCAATGTCTCCTGAAGAGTAATGCTGCTGAGTTCTCCAAAGTTCTTACAGCTCATCTCACTGGCTTGCTCGTCTTCCTTAAGACCTTGAGTTTGAGGGGTTGGTTTGGAGGAAACGTCCTGGTTCCTTGGTGGGGGTGTTTCTCCCTCCCCTGTAGCTCTTGCTTCCAATTCATCCTCAAACTTTGATGCACACCTGCCATCTGAGGGATCATGAAAGTGGCAGAGCCCTGGGCCCCAGCTCCTGGTCTTCTGCTCGCACCTTTGGCACGGAGGGAATCTGCCCCTTAGAGAGCTGAGAAACCCTGCCTGCAACATCATCTTTAAAGTGAACGGATAGAATTTCTCTAGAGTCTTTCTGTTTCTGATCTTCTAGAAATCCAAGCTTTTAAAAAAATCCCTTTATGGTGGACTTGGTGCTGACAGTGCCGGTAATCCGGGTCACCTTCTCTTCAGTTGACTTTACTGTCTTTATATGGTCCAGTCCTTCCTACCTTCGCACCATTTCATTCCATCCTGGTTTCCTCCTATTCACCTTCCTTTCCTTTTTATGGGTTGTACAGAAGTGAATTAAAGGATTATTAGAAAGTATGTCTACCCTGTACTTAGCTTCATTCATATATAAATATATATATACACATATATACATATATATCCTCTCCTACTTTTGAGTCTATGGATGGTTGTCACAGGTACCTGGCTCATTAGCCTCTCACAGATTCTTCTTTCTGTGGTTCTGGGGCTGCTTGTATCCTGTTTTTACACTGGGATAGGTCACTCACTTGTTTTCTCCTTTGTCAGTGCAGAAAATGAATATATCCTGCCTTTCCTTGTCCCAATGCCTTGTTGGTGATTGGGTTGGGTGTACAGCTCAGGACTATTGAGCCGGGTCAGGACACTGTTCGAAAAAGTACTGGCTCTTTTGGCACACGTCTTCCCTTCTTCTCTCTCAGAAATACTCCAGGGTACTCTTCCCTATGCAGGTGTAGTTATTAGTATTATACACATGCCTTCCCTTCTTCATGAGCTTCTCCCATCTGCCTCTAACATCTCATGAGAGAAGCTTCCAGGCAGGTATCTCACGGGAACTCGGGCTCTGCTTAGTTGAAGTGTGAGCAGGAAGAACTGTGTGGAAACAGGTATCCACATGTTGTGGGTACTACCTTGAGGGAATCACCTTCTCTATTTTGATTTCATTATGTTGACAATAATTATAATTCCATAACCACACAAGACATTTAGATGCGTTCTTGGACTCTTGCATGAGCCAAATGCTGCTTTCTGTGATTTTTTTACATCCTTGTTTTGAAAAATGTGTGACTTCAGTATAACCATAAATTAGTAGGAAAGCTAAAAGTTCTGAGTTACGGTTGACTGGCTGGATAGGGAGGTGGCACTTCCTCCTCTGGGCATCTCCCAGGATTGCTTCTGCCCTTCAGTCAAAGGTTCTGGGTTATGTCCTGACATCAGCAGGCATTTTGCCTTTACTTGGGCTTTTTTGGTGCTGGTGAACCAAGCACAAAGGCAAAGGCAACAATATCAAAGAAGGCAGAGTGGAGGATGGATCTGAGCACTTGGAAAGAGCAATGTTTCTATAAAACAGAGACACTTGACAGTAAAGCCAGTGAAAAAGGATACCAATTACACAAAGCAAAATGCCACCCATCAAGGAGAACATTTTAATTCTCTGTTGCGGGCTATTTATGACTTTTTGTTCAAGACTCAATGCATGTCTTTAAAATTTAAAATAAAGAAATTGACCCCATTTGTTAGGTGCAGGGGGCCTGTCCTGGGAAAAAAAGAGGTAAGAAGACATTATCAGTATTTCATTGGAGAATTCCAGAGGCCAGGCACAGAGGCTCTTCAAATATAACTTTGCCCCTTGTGTATTTTTCCCTTTTTGAGTTGTTTGAGGAAGAGAGGAAGGCTAATTTTATTGAGACATTTAAAACCATATTTAAATTAATTGTAGTTTCACAGTGTCTGTTTCAATTGAGCGCCCGCACTGTCCTGCTTCAGGACAAAACAGAACAACAAGCGAACCAAACTCTTTTGCAGGGCGGCTTGCCTGTCCGGTTCTGCGGGAGGTGGTCGAGGGCTCACAGCTGGTTCCCTGGAAGAGTGCCACAAGATGGCGACAACGTCACGGTGGAGCGTGGCCAGTGGCTGCTGCTGGACGCCAACACGAGCATTCTCAACTTGCTGCACGTTAAAGGTTTGTGGAGTCTGAGCATCCGTGGTGGCATTATGACGTATCCTTCTATAACTTTTAGGGAGCAGGCGGCAGGGAGTTTTGGATAAGTTCCAGCACTTGGTTGACCATTTATTCTCGGCCCCAGTTGAGATGTTATTATGAAAGTTAGAAGTGGTCAGAGGGCTCAAAATGAAAAAGCCCTTTCTTTTGACCCTAATAAGCACAGAGCTTGATTATTTCAATTTTTCAAATTTTCAAATGCAAGAGGTTAACAGTGTTAACAAAGAATATGCTTCTTTATTCAAGCACTTTGTAGTCATGCCTGTCCAGAGCAGCCCCCCCACAACATAGCAAAATGTTCTGAAATTGGTTAGTGCCTCTGCCTTTGAAATTTCCTGCCAAGAAAACAATGTCTTCCTGCTTTTACCATGTTGTGGTTTTGACTTCCTGGTCCCGTGGAAAGTCACATAAATAGGCTTCCTTATTGCAAAACTGGCCACATAGTTTTAAGGTCTGGGAGGTTGGAAGAGACTGAGAATTCAAATTTCAGCTCCTCTACCACATCACCAAGTGATGAAGTCAGTTTTGTGCATTTGTTACCATAGCTGTTAAATGAGCATAAAAATCATTACCTATTTCAGAGACTGATAACAGGGAATGGTCAGGAAAATGACTGTTCCCTGGCAAATGCAAATGGCTTGGGAAATGTGATTAGTTATGGTATCTATAAAACTATACTAAACCATTCTTTACTAAAGACATGTTTAACACTTGCAAGAACATTTGTTCTTGTTCAAGTAAGATCATGGGCTACATGAGGGAAAATAAAATATTTGGAAGGGGATAAATTGATGCAATATTTATACCTGTCTCTTACAGATGAAATCAGGTTTTTCTGATATTACATTCTATATTCTGGAAGCTGCTTTTTTTTTTCTTCTAGGAATAAGGTGACATTTTCAGGCAAATCAGTTAATTAGTACCCTTTAGGAAAAATGGCCTGTCAGCTTGGGCTCTTGACCTGCTTTTGTGCTGTGTGTGTATGTGGAGGTATGTACATGTGTGTGTGTGTGTGTGTGTGTGTGTGTGTGGCTAGTGGCTATTGAGAATGCTGACTTATTGACAGACAACAGCTACCTAAGTACTAGAAATGACAGGAAAATTATAGACTGAAGACTCCAGCTCAGAGAAAAGATGTTTTTTTGCAGTTTGCCAGTCTTTAACCAGGCTCCTTCCCATAGGAGTCAAATTCTTATGGAGGATAGGATGCCCTTTGGGTAGTCAAGGGTCTCGACATTATGTTGATGCAATTTGGGAGAAGTTTCCCAGATTAAAAATCTCGCTCAACTGAATTTTTGGATGTCCTATTAGTTGCAGGTAAGTATTCAGTTAGGTAATGGTGTTGATCAGGCAGAGACTAATGATAGGAGAAGAGGTATCGGAGGGAGAGCAAAGGGTAAGGAAAGGCAGGGACATGCGGAACGTACACTTAGCTTCTCACGCTTGGAGATTCCAAGATCCGAACAACTCAAATGCTTGCCCCAGCCTGTCACCTCCCAACAGTGGTTTTCCTTAATATTCCTGGCTCAGGTGGTATGTTGTTCAGAATAAGTTAACTAGGCTTGGAAAGGCAAGTTCTCATGCTGTGGAGAGGGAGAGAGAGGGAGTTATTTGAAGTATCCCCTCTCTCTCTTGGGGAGAAAGACCATTGGTAGGAATGTAGGAAGGTAGTGGACACTGGTTTTTGTACAAATAGGGTACGGAAGTTGTTGGCAGAGAGCAGAGTTTCCTAGAATGAAACTGTGAGACCTTTATCATTAAGATAATAGGTCATAGCTTCTGGAAAGAATGAGAACAGGAAAAGTACAGAGATCCAGGTTGATACCATAGATGACTTGTGAATGCTTATTGTGTAGCCAGGAACTCTGGGTAAGATACAAGAAAAAGTAAAGAATAATAATGTCTGTTATATGCATTATCATTAAAGAAACACTAGTAAGGGGGCAAAAAAGTCAGATTTCTAGTTCTAAAATATGGGATGCAGACAGTAAAGCAGAATATAGTCTAGAGTAATCAGGGTGTTGAGGATATAAGTTCTAATTGAATAGTGGAGAGGAAGTGAAGAGCATATCACGTGTGTCTGAGACAAGTTTTGATCATGTAGATATCAATATATGCATAGAATCTAAGTTTGAAAAACTTCCCCATCTCACTTATTAGAACTGCCCATGTCCAGTGGGCTCAAGCCAAAAACCTTGGAGGCATCCTAGATTTCTTTCCTTTTTTACATTCCATGACCAATCTATCAGTGAATCTTGTTGACTGGATCTTCAACTGTATCCTGTAGATCAGTATCTCCATTGGTACCAACCTAATCCTAATCAATGTAATTTTTGGCTGGGATCATTTCAGAAGGCCTCTTAAGTGGTCTGTGTTTCTAATTCGCTGCCTTCCTTAGTAGTAGAATCCCAGTTTTTATCTGGGGCAGCAATGCATCCAGCTAAAATTCTCTGTTTGCTGTCCTCTTTTGTGGTTGATATGGTCTTGCGGCTAAGAGCTAGCTATTGAGATATAAGGGGAAGTGTGGAACAGGAAATGTGGGAAATTTCCTAAGGTAGGAGTCCTGCCCTATTTGTCCCTCCTTCTTCCTATCCCTTGCTTCCTGGAATGTAAATGTGATAGCTACATTCTTAGCTGCCATTTTGGACCATGAGGAGAACTCATTAAGAATGGGGACAGAATGGAAGAATCTCAGGTCCCTGATGACTTCAGAGTCGTCCTATTAGCATGGCTACTGGGAATGCCCACCTTTAAGACACTTTTTTGTGATAGAAAAACGAGACTTCATGTGTTTAAGTCATTGGTGCTTGACTTTTATGCTATATGCTAAAATAAACCTCCAATAGTTTATTGTCCACAGTTTTAAAAAATATGTCATCTGTTACATTTTTCCTCAAACTCCCCCCAAATGGCTTCTCATTTCACTAGAAATACAGTCTAAAGCCCTTAGCATTAAGAAACCTCAGATCCTTTCATTAACCTTTTCCTCATTCACTCTGATCCAGGTCTCCTATGAATATACCAGTCATACACCTACCTCAGGGCCTTTGCACATAATGTCCTTTGCCTGGAATGTTCTTCCTCCAGATATTCATGTGGCTCACTTATTTCATTTGCTCTTTGACAAAATGTCAACTTATCAGAGAGGTCTGGCTGGCAATTGTTTTTATTTTTTGAAATGCAACCATTCCCTATCATTGTCTATCCTTTTATTTTGCTTTACTTATCTTCATAGTGCATATTACCAAATGACATACTATCAATTTACTTGTTTGTTTACAGACTATTTCCTATGCTACGGTAAGCTCAGAAAGGCAAAGAACTTCACCAATTTAATCACTACTGTCTCTTCAGTGTCTAGGACACTGATTATATGTTGATGGTTGAATGAATGGACAAGTAAAATTGTGTCGAATTCAGGTCCTGGATGAAATTTAAGAAGCGTAATTTTTAAACTCTTGCTGTCTTATATATCATTTCTCCTAACTAATTTACTTTTACTGTCCTTAGTTCTCACTGATAAATATACATACATATATAATATATGTCTACATATGTGTATATATGTGCTCACATATGCATATGCATACACACATACACATAAATACACACATTTACATACACATGCATATACACACACATATACTTACACATACAAATATATCATTATGAGTTATTAGGATTATAAATCCATTGTCAAGTTGTTTTTCTGTTTCTAAATGGTGTTTGAAACTGGAGAAGGAGGACAGCTCTCAAGTATCTTCTTACCATAGCATGGCTCTGCATCTCTGATGTCTTCTCTTGGTCTACAATATGTGCAAAAGCATTTGAAGGATAGTAAAAAGCTATTCAAATATGAGATTGAATCATTATCACCATTATCATCAACAACAAGTCATTCTCTGAGTCTCTGTTACTATCTTTTTCATATCCATTCATGGTTTCAGAGAAATAGCTGAGAGGAATTTTTTTTTTCTTTTTCTGATACCATCTATGGGCTGAGATAAAGCATGAAAAATTTCAAGCCAAAAAAATAATTTCTTTGAAAGATTTAACAAAATATAAAGTATTATAGTGGAAGTACTTGCCCAGCTATTTCTACAGTATTGTAAAGATTGTATTCCACGTGAAGTATGTACACACTTTGAAAGGATTAGTGCTAAGTAAAAGTGAAACGAGATCAGTTAAGAACAACATTTAGAACTACTTTATGAAAATTTTGTATTTTCCATGTAATTTTCCCATGCGTGGAAGCCAGCGTCCTAATACAAAGAGGACAAGGCTTCCACATCAGGAAAACAAATACTTAGATGTGTGGCCCTCTAGGGTCTTGAACTCTCTGAGGCTTACTTATCTTTCCACCTGTAAGCAAATTTGACTTTTTTTTTGTCTTAAGAATACAGCTTACGTAGTAGTAAAGATAATTAAAAGTTTCTTTGAGGCATTTGGGAAACGGCACCAGAGACAAAGTTTTCACCATTATTTCTGATACTGTATGTACTGATTTCTGAACTTTATTGAAAAACGGCAGATTATTTTGTGACCATAAGAGCTTCAGCTATATTTATTATTACTTTACCTTAATTAGCAAAATATCCATAACTTTTATTTACTAACCATCTCCATTTCTTTCCTCCATTCCTTCCTTCCTCCTTTTTTTAAAAAAATTAGGAGATACCATTAAACACAGAAAAGAATTAAAACCCAATTAGTTAATACTAATGAGCTGGGATGGAAATAGGCATATTGCCTTCATTTAATTAATTATGTGTTTTGTTCTTTTTGTTAAGATGCCTAATGGCCATAAGCATCACTGAATTAAAATTTATTATTTTATTCCAACTAATTATGATGAGCCACAATAATAGAAAAGGAACATTACCCTCTTGTCAGAACCATTATGCATCCTGGGCAAGGATCTTGGGCTTGTGGTCTGTAGCTGGGGAAGCATTTCATATTTT